ATCTATCTATCTATCTATCTATCTATCTATCTATCTATCTGTCGATCTGTCGATCTGTCGATCTATCTGAAGTGGATTATGGGTGTTGCTGTTCACACTACTCTCACTCCATTTCACTGTACAAGGACAGTTGACCATTGTTAGCCCTCTCTCAAGCCTCTTTTCCGTTTTTTTGATGGTGAAAGTGTGTGTGACGATAAACACTCTGATCAAACAGAGCTTAACAACCTGCCCAAACAGATAACACACTGAGGGGGAGGAAAAGAGAGGATGGCAGAGGAAGGAAAAGGGGGGGGGGAGGGGGAGGGAGGTTAGGTTAGTAAAAAACAGAGATGAGGACCGGCTCTTTGTGTTTAAAATGCTCTGTTGTACAAAGGAAGGTGAGAATAAGCCGATGTTTATCATTTGGAACATATAAAAAGACTCGTATGTTGTTGTTATTTCCAGTTTTTGTTAGGTTGTGGAGTACGGATTCAAACACAACAGGAAGTATAGAACGAAACCCGGAGGATGATGCAAGGCAGAGATCATGAGCCAGATGTTACCCGGTGCCCTACCAGCACATAGCCTGACCCACAGGCTGTTAACCTCTTTCTCTCTGCCCTACATCTGATTTTGGTTCCTCCTGTTCAGCCTGATACAAATCTGTTGCTTAACAATAAATATATCTTGTGATGTAGAGGTAGAGTAGGCACCATATTTACAGATGCGATAGTTCGCAGCTCAGTTATTCTGGGTTCAATTCTTAACTCTGAAACTTTTCTCTCTTCCTTATGTCAATAAAAGCCACAAAAACCCCATTAATATGTTTCATATTTATTCCAAAGTTTAAAACTGAGATTTGAGTGCGACATGTTACATATTTAAGGAAGACCTATATTGCAAAATTCACATTTTGCACATTTTTATACTTCCATGTGGATTTGTGCTGCTTCTAATAACAGCCCACACACCCAAAAAACCCAGCAAGCTGTTTTTTGGTGTCCAGAATATAAAGCATTTAAAAAAACCTCCATATTGTTAAGTCACGACAGGCACTGTCCTGTCGCCTAGCAACCCCAGTGAAGCCCAGTCTGTCACCTAGCAACCAAAGTGGAGTTCCAGCATATTTGGTCAGCTGGCTTTACTGCTGTATGCGCTGTACAATGGCTGCTGGAAAAGACAAGCGTTTTGTTGTTGACTTACCATCCAGAAACAACTTGCTGCACTCTTGTTGGTTGTGTAGGAAGCTCTACTAATACTTTTCAGAGATGTATAATGTATAATTGTGCATCTGTTTGCAACCATTTTCATGTGTGAGTGGGGGCCAACTCAACGTTTTGTGCACAATTGTAATTAAACTGTTTTGTATAGCTCAGAGACCTATCCTATTCAAGGAACCTTTAACAGACAAAAACTACAAAAACAAGCTGAAAAATATTTAAGTTTGAAGCTGGTAGACATGGTTAAAATGAAACTCAGAAGGACATCAGACCCAACTCACCTCTGTCACAGTGTGAGGGCCAAACTAGCGATGATTAGCTTTACAAGCCAATAACAAGATGTGTCTGAAAAATATTCACACAGCACAACAAAGCTTTCACTGACACTATGTGACTAATTTAATCAGATATAACCTGGTAGAAGTACAAATAATATTCATGATCTGCATTTTTTATGTTTATGCATGTGGCAGCCATCTTGAATTATGAGGTTGGGTTTTGTGGTTGGATGTTTGACTTTAAATGATTCTGTCGGTGATTTCTCTGACATCCATCCATCCATCCATCCATCCATCCATCCATCCATCCATCCATCCATCCATCCATCCATCCATCCATCCATCCATCCATCCATCCATCTTTAAGGTTCCGTCCAGTTAAAGTTCTCCTTCCTGTTTAATTTTTGCAGATCATCATTATAAAGATCCAAGTGGACGAGGCTGCAGCGCCTTTGACCAATCAGTGGCCTGTTTTGTTGTCCAGGTTAGTTGAGCATTCATGTTCTGACCATGTCACAGTGAAATAAATAATAGATTAATTCACCAAATCTCACATTAAAAACATATTTTGATTGGAGATATTTTCTTTCTCTGAAAGGAAAGGAAATTAATTTGAATGTGACATTGGGAATGTAAAAGACCGCTCTCATTTTGCTTTTGTAAGAATAATCCTTATAAAAAAGTGTCAATACTTTCAATTTTTTAGTCCTTTTTATTGAGAGATTCTAGTAAAAATTGTGAGTACAATCAAAACGTTTCTGTTATTCGTCTTTTTGGAATCTGGATAACTTTGGCAGAGAAGATTTATGTTTTTGCATCCTCCTGAATAATGTGTAGTTGTGCCACTGATACATAATTGGGAGTTTATTACAGATTTTTCTCAGAAATTGTCAAAAACTTTCTTACTTGTTCTAAACAGCTACCTCAGCCTAGATTGATGTCAGATTATAGTCCATTTACCATCATAAAGAAGTACAAATATTTCCACATTAGTACCACAAACACTTTGATTTCTATTGCAAAAAATCACAAAAACCTAGAGGGACTGAAAAGATGTTCAAGACTGAAAAGATGTTCAATAATATTTCATTTCAAGAATGCATTGATATTTTAACAGTTTGTGAACAGATTTTGTCAGCATTCTGGCACAACTGGCCCTTTGAGAGTATTCATAATTTTGATTTGGCCCAAAACAAAAATGAATTTGACACCCCTAACTTAATGGGTTGAATATTAATAAACTGAACACTTTTCATATTTTTATTTCTTAAAAAAAATAGAACCCCACAGTTAAAGTGTAACTAGCCCCCTTGTTAAAGCCTAAGCCCCGCCCCCTGGCAGATTTAGAAAGTTCCAGAAAGTGGGCGGAGCCAAGAGACACAAAGGGGCGTGGTTAAGCCAGAGTGGTCAGGATGAGAAGCACTGTTGCCAACTTATCCACTTATATTTAGCAACTTTTCAGACCCTTTAGTAGCTTTTATTCAAAAAAGGATCAATTTATACAGTTTATCCGCAAAAAATATAGTTGATTATAAGTGATCACTGAAGTTTGCGATAGTTGTGCAGTAGTGAATATGAATACCAGTTTTGTCACTTTTACATTTTTAGAACAACAAAAACTGTTTAAAATACAGAGCCAAATTTATCAACACTAATTTTATGTGGTTGTCTTTGCAGTGATGGATTCACCTACAGACCTTTTCGATGACTCCTCCCCCCAGATACGGACTTTTACTCCCGGTCTCTCCTCCACCGACCTCCCTGGAGTCCACACCGCTCCCGGCTTCAGACCCCCAGGCTTCCCCCTCATCCACCATCTCCTCCAGCCGGGCGGAGGCCCACGGAGGATCCTGACCGCAAACCAGAACGAAGTGACTGCCACTCAAATGGAGCAAGAAGAGGGGATGATGGAGGGAGAGGACGAGTTGACGGAGGTGAAAAGGAAGTGCAACGACACCGTCCTCATGGCTGAGTGGAGTCAAGACGTCATGAAAGTGAAAAGGATGAAGCTGGAGTGCAGGCAGAAAGATAAGGAGTTGGAGGACGGAGGGAAGAGGAGAGAGGGGAGGAGACGGGAGAGGGAGGAGCTGAAGGAGCAGCTTGAGGAGGCCAGGGAGAGACTGCAGGCCCTGCAGGAGAAAGTCTGGAGGGCGTTTGGGGAAAAGGCAGAGAAGGAGGAGAAGAAAACAAAGCGCCTAAGCGGAACCAGGTGTGATGAAGATGAAGGGACGGTGGAAGATGAGGAGGATGTCACAGGAGAGATGTTTGATGAAGAGGACATCGATGGCGCTGAGATGGAGAAGGAATCTTTCTCCCTGCTTTCTGTTTCCCATTTTGACACCTTCCACAAACGGAAAGACGAGTTGCAAAAAGACAGAGAAAGGCGGACAGAGAGAGGAAGAGAAGGAGACATGGAGGGCATCATGGAGGGATCGAGACTGTGGCTGGAGTGCGGAGGTCTGACGAGGGGAGACTGGGACGGAGGCGCTGAAGACGAGGATGAGGAGGGAGGACAGAAGTTTGCGCAGGCACTGAAGCTGGAGCTGGGCAGCGCTGTGGCGCGAGTCATTGACCGAGTCCTTCGTCTTTACACGGAGATGATGGACCATTCCTCCCCTCCTGCCACCATCTCCTTCCATCCGTCTGATCAGGCGCAGGACGGAGGGAAAGTGAGGGACGGCTGGATGGGACTGTTGACGAGAGGAAGAGTGGAGGAACCGATGAAGGAGAAGGAGGATGGAGACAGAGAGCAGCAGCTCAAGAAGTTGGTTCCTCCTGGACCAGATCTGGCAATGCCATTGGCCGTTCACAGGTCACCTGACACGCGGAAGACCTTCCCTCTTCTTGGACCACCACTCTCCACCAGCATCAACTCCTCCCACCCAAACCTCCCCCTTCATCACCCCTCTTTGACCCGACCCACTCCTCTTCCTCACCCTCCACTCTTGCCTCCAGCTTCACAGCCCAAAGAGACTTCCTCCTCCTCTTCCTTCCACCCCTCTTCATCATCCTCTTCCTCCTCATCATCCTCCTTCCCTGCACCACCTCCACCACCTCCTCCTCCACCTCCGCCTCTTCCTCTTCCATTACTCCACTACTCCATGCAGCAGCTCTTCTCCCGCTCGCTCCACCACCCACAGCTCCCGCATCTCGCTCCGTCTCGGAAGGACTACCTGAACTCCGACCCCTTCCTGGAGTTCTCCTCTCATGCCTCCTTCCCTCCGCTCCCTTTTCTCGGACACCTGGACCCGTCGCTGACTCGCCACGGAGTCAGAGAGAGGGAGAGGGGGGTGAGGGGAGACGGGAGCATCAGAGGAGGCGGAGGAATGGACGGAGGAGAGCTCTACCTGACCGCCGGCGGGATATCCTTTTTGTCATTTGAGGGAAGGACTAACAGAGAGGATTGTGTTTGTTCGTGTTTGTCCTTAACCTGTGTCATGTTTACACTCAGGAGGGATTGTCTCCCTGCCATCTGAAGAAAGCCAAGCTCATGTTCTTCTACACACGGTACCCCAGCTCCAACACGCTCAAGACCTACTTCCCTGATGTCAAGGTAAGTGTGCCTCAATGATCCACCTGTCCATAGTCCCTAGTTATCCAAGACAGGATCACACGGTATAGGAAGATCAACCAACCAACCAACCAACCGACCGACCAACCGACCAACCAACCGACCAACCAACTGACCAACCATCCAACCAAGTTTGTTTGTATACCACAAACCTGATTAATTTTCACAACAAGGCAGTTCAGAGTGCTTTAATCATAAAAACACAAGAATAAAAAGTAATAAACACAACATACAGTCAACGTTTGTGAAAACCAGTAACAGACATTACATTTTGACGAGCGCCATCATGAAGATCGTCAATATGCATAAAGTATTTTGGCCAATGTCTCATTAATTATGTTTCAAAGGAAACTCTAAACAGGTGGATTTCTAGTCAAAATTTAAAGAAACTCAGTGTTTCGGCTGTTTTGCAGTTTTCTGGAAGTTTGTTCCAGATTTGTGGTGTGTAGAAGCTGAATGCTGCTTCTCCATATTTGGTTCTGGTTTTTCAGAGCAGAACCAGAAGACCTGAGAGGTCTGTAAGGTTGATACAACAGCAGATCTTTAATGTATTGTGGTGCTAAACCATTCAGTGATTTATAAACTAACAACAGTATTTTAAAGTCTATTCTCTGAGCTACAGGGAGCCAGTGTAGGTATTTTAAAATATACTCAAACCAACTCTCTCGGTTTGCAAAACAGAAGAGTGGCTGCTCAATGCAATTTCTTCACCATGACAGATCAGAGCAGTGCTTACTTTACTTCAGACAAGACTCCGTCTATCCTCCTGTTCCACAGCTCTACTATGGATCTGTACCTCTCTGTCCTGGTAAAAACCAGTCCCTGGTTCTAAGCTTTGCTTCGTACAGAGGGTTTGAACCCTTGGCTATTCAGAAAGTGCTTGCCGCTTATTTTACCCAGTTGCTAACTTTTATTAGCGAGGTCGACAGGTCGATGAAACCTATCAGAAATTGCGTGTGCTGTGAAGGACCCTGACATTTTTGCTAGCAATAAAATGTCTAAAACATTCCTCTTGCTCAGAGTTGAATTGTAGCTCTCTTCCCCTTATCATCCACAGGTTGATTCTTTGACGTGTGAATTAATTGATATCTTCTTATCATTATCACCATGTAATATCATGGTATGTCACACTAACTAGCTAACTAAAGAGTTAGTTCTGCTAACACTAACACATCACACCAACACAGTATTTAGTGGAAGCTAGTGCTAAAGCGCTACCTTAATTTCAAGCTATGAAACTTTGAAAGACAACAACTATTGAACAATAATTTAACTTTTGCATTGTAATTTTGGATGTTCTATATTACCCTTAGATACTGTATTTACAGTATATTTATATATTGTTTGCTCCTGTCCATGTTTTATTTTGTTCCTGAATGTTGCTGGTTTAAAATATAGTTTTTGAAGGGAAAAAGAGAGGAAATGGAACTGCCGTGTAAATAGTCTTCACCCACTTCAAAATAAGAGCATGGATTAAACTAACAAACTAAGAACTCTTAATGGTCAATAACCAAACCTTCAACAAAGATGTCAAACTTTATTCAACAGAATATTTCCAAAACAGCCAAGTATATTTGGAATATAGCTGGAAAAAATCAATTTAGAGGTAGCCAGATGTGGTAAAAATTTCAAAGGATAGCAAAAGTGCTAAACTAAAACTTATTTCCACTATTAGCATATTAGCTTAAATGTGCCCACCACTGAATAAAACCACATGAGTTTACTGGCCTTTTCTTTTAAGGGTCTTTCAGTCTCAGTCAAAGGATGGCCTTCTTTATATATTCATTTTAAATGCTCTTTAGACCACAATGTAAATAGATTTAAAGTTCAGAGTCAGAGTCTTAATTCATGTTTGATCCACTTATAAAACTGAATATTCAGTTATTGATAGGAAGGTCAATCAAGTGAATGCAGTATTAAAATTCAATAATATATAAATAACATTTATGGTGCTTTCCATCTGGATACATCAACTAGTTTACATTTAGACCAGGCTCATTTTGGACCCCCTGATGCAAAAATGACATTATGTAAAATCACCAAATAAGGATTATGATATGAAATTATAGAGGCTTTTAAAGCATCTCAAATAGATTTCTCACATTTATTGGTTTATTTTGATGTAAAACTTAATTGCCTTGACTTAACAAAAACGGCATATTGTCCTAGATCTGTGTGGCCCTGAGTGAAGGATTTGAATCCATCTGCTACCTTATACTAAGAGTGAAACGTTGTACATTATTTTGCATGTTCACAGTAGCTGCATCTCCATTGACCACAGAATTACACAAATTAGAATTATGAAAATAAATTTGTTCAGTGGAAAAACAACATTTTAGAAAAAAACCTCACGTTTTTCCAAATAAAAATGAGGTGGTTTTTCGGCTGCATCAAAATTAGATTAGATTAGATAATCCCAATCAACAACCATGTGATTAATAACCGGGTGTTTTTACTGGCAGAAAAGACGAATAAATCTGCAGCAGGTGGTAAGAGGAAGACGGTTGTCATGTTTTTTAATTACTTATCGGATGAAAAAACATATTCAAATGTGATTTTAATTGCGTTTGCAGTTTAGAAATTGTGTTTTTTCCACATTAGTGGAAAATCGACAAAGTTTTGTGCACATTTGAAATAGAAACGCAGATAGTGTTTTATCCATCAGATTTTAAGACGGTGCTGCAAATTAAATCTCAGAGCAATTCCTGCATGTTTTCACAATGTTTAACAAAAGTCTGGACAGAAGCAAAACACACAGCGCCAACTGTATTTAACAGAGGTGTAAAAAGTCATACGGTGACTGCAGGAGCCTTGACTCAATCCCTAAAATAAAAAAGAACGATTTCCAACTATTTTTTTACAATTTCTTCCCCACTAAATGAATTTACTGAACCCAGACGTTTGGTTTCTCTAGAATATTACGTGCGAGCTGCTGCAATGAGGCAGAATTAGTTTTACACTTATTTAAATGTTCAGCAGAGGGATCAAAGCTGTGACCTGAATTAGTTTTCGGCTTCAGGGTCGGCCAGCACAGGTGTCATCAGCTAACCCTGAAGCATCAAGCAGCCGCAGCCTGTCCAAACTCAAACTGTACAGACCAAAAATAGCTGCTCTCTGGTTTGTTAATCGTTTTCAAATAAATTGAAGCTGGATATTGTTTTGCAGTCTGTCCAGCCCATGAAATAAAAATATTATGACATCATAAATAAAGCTAATAAGGATCTTTCTCCTGCTGTCTAGTTTAACCGCTGCGTGACCTCGCAGATGATTAAATGGTTCAGCAACTTCAGGGAGTTTTTCTACATCCAGATGGAGCGATTTGCACGCCAGGCGGTCCGCGACGCTCTCACCCGGTGAGTTACACTCTGCCCCGAATTTACTCCATCTACGCTAGAGTCTGCTAGCGTTCATTTTAATCTTTCTTACAAATTTAATGATCTATATTCTCTACAAAAAGGAGTGGAACAATTTATAGGTATATATTAAATAGGGGTGACCAAAGTGCGGCTCAGTGACTGCAGTTTGATTTAAATTTGACCCGTCCATCACAGGCGGACATTTTTAGTAATAAAAATAAAATGAATATAGAATAGAATAAAATTATTACCGACATAATTTTCTTGAGATGGAAAAATTTTAAATCCAGCACAAAGTATTCATCTTTTTTCAACCAGGCGTTTATAATAAGTAGAACCACATTTATCCAGAGACGTTTGATTTCGCTGCACTTAAATCAGCTTTTATGTGATTAAAAATTAATCACATAAGCAGTTTCACATAGCAACAAATGTAAACAGAAAAAATGACTTGTGTTGCTTGAAACTTTGATGACTTTGAGCTCATTTAGATTGTCTGTGTTCTGATTTGTTCAAGTCAATAAATGTTTGTACAAAGGATGAATGAAACTGAGGATGTTTCTGACGCAGGGACGGCGCAGCTCGTCTGGGCCGAGAGAATCAGCTGCAAGTGGGTCGAGATACGGAGCTGTACCGCATCCTGAACATGCACTACAACAAGAGCAACGTCTACCAGGTCAGGACAGGATCAGTACAGGCGTTTACTGACATGTAGGCAGTCATGTCATGCTAATCTGATTTATTTTAATCATCTTTCACCAGGAGGGAATGAGTGTATGAGAAACAGCCGTTTTAAAAACAAAAAGTAGGAGCACAAGGTTCGGTTTATGCCAAATCCGGTAAAACATAAACATACATACTGTCGTACTGATGTTTGGAAGACAGAAATGACATAAATCATTAAGTTTCTGGCATACATTTGTCAACCTATTGTATTTACTCTTTAAATTAACTCCATTTAAGTTGTTTTTTTATTGGCTCATTCCCAGTTTTAAGGGAAGCGCATATATTTTCCATATGGTGGAGATGGAGTCATTCCAGATGAACCAGTTGGGATGTGTGTTTTGGATCTGTGTCCTGTTAGGAAAATGTCAGAGCTTCTACCAAACTGACCTAAGCCGAGCTTTTATTGTATATCCAAAATTTACATTTCGCCTGTTTTTGTTCTTCCATTTGGGTCTCAACTGCTTCTAAAAAACAGACCAAGTGATTTAAAAAAAAAAAAAAAAAAAAAGCATCCAGCTATTTTTTGCCAACAAGTTCAAGTTTTTAGGGATCTGGAAAATGAGACGTTTCTAAAATATTAAGTTCCATTCGAGAGGCACTGTCCCCGTTACCTAGCAACCAATGTGAAGCCCAGCCCGTTACCTAGCAACCCAAAGAAAGTTCCAGCACTTTGGTTAGCTGGTTTTACCGCCATTTGCGCTGCTGGAAAAGATAAGTGTTTTGTTGTTGACTTACCATCCAGAAACCAGGTGCTGCAATCTTGTTGGTTATGCAATTAATATGTTGTTTTACTCAGTTGTAGTTATTATTTTAAACTTTTTGGGTCAAAAAAGCCAAATTTTGTTGCTTATAATTGACTTGTTAAAGCAATAAAAATGTCCTAGACTTCAGTCCTATTGAAAATCACACAATTTAAATGAAACATCAACATTTCTGTTCAGAAGAGTAGGTAAATGTCCTGTTAGAAGCTTGTTTCTATACAATTTCAGTGGCATTTATCTAAATATTGGTGGCTTCAATATATACTTGAGCCTGGGTGTGTAATTTTGACTGGTTTGAATTAGAAAAAATCCCCAATGCAATAAACTATTTGTCTTTAAATGTAATTGAAAAATGGGGTTCTATTTTCATTCTACTCAGGGAAATAATGTCTCAAATACATTTTCTGTAATATATAAACCACTAACTTCTGACCAAAAATGTAAATATTATACAGTAGATGTTTTTTTGAAATGCAGGACACAAACTGTTAAAACAATTCTTATCTTGTCACAAAATGTACATCTTTTTATCACCACTAGTTGGCAGTAGTGGTCCACTGAATTTACAGCAAAAATGTCAGGAAAAAGCTTTAAGTGAATCAGGTTGGTATTTAAAACTTAAAACCAATTAACTTTTAAAATGTAAAATTAAAAATAGTGCCTGTTTTTAAAAAACTGTGAAACATGTCATTTTCATATATAAAACTATCATAAAAACCTGAAAAGCTACACTGTCTGCAACAGACTGCAGGAAATGAGAGAAAAAATCTAGAGCTTGAAGAAGAAGACAAATGGCTAAACAAAGTGCAGCACCAAGCCTACATTCCTTCAAAGAAGTCAGTTTTCTTATAAACTGAGCCAATTCATAACGAAACTTAAAAAAAAAAAAACATTTATATGCAGAACTATATGGTCAGTTCAAGCCAAACATACAGAGAGATTTCTGAGTTTGGTGCCTCTGGTAAGGCAAATTTCAGTACAAACCTCCAGGTTGGAGGGGAAAGCTCTCTTAATTTTTCTTATATGTGGTCCATGCTAATTTGCAGCCTTTACTTCCTGCTTATTAAAGTCATAAGAAACGTCAAAGTTTGACAAAATTACACGTTGACTGGTCAATTTGCTCCAAACCAGTAGAAACATGACTAATTCACATTTTCTGTTTTATTTTCTCTCATAATTCCCAACAATTGGTTGGAAATGTAGCTAGTGAATTGATTTTGAACTTCTCTTTATAACAACATGAGACCAAAAGGACAAGGATCCCAAACACAAAGTCAAATCTACAACAGAAGGGCTGAAAAAGAAGTGAATGTAGGTACAGCAGTGGTCCAGTCAAAGTCTGGACCGCAACTTGATTAACATGTTTGCAACCTCAACAAACTGAAAATGATTATGTGCTAAACAATGACTAAATATATCTAAATCTAAATAAATCAATTTTTTATCACCCTGAAAGAGGGTGCACTTACTTTTTTAGAATTACTGTTTATTTATCATTTGCTGCTTTTGAATAATGATAATCTACTAAACTAAGGGTTTGCCTCCTCTGCCAGTACGTGTTACGGACTTTGACTGGTCCGTTTCTGTGTGCAGGTTCCTGAGAGGTTCATCGAGGTGTCAGAAGTGGCTCTGAGGGAGTTTTACTCGGCCATTTGGACTGGGAGAGACAGCGACCCCTGCTGGAAGAAAGGAATATATAAAATCATCTGCAAGCTGGACAGTCCTCTGCCGGATGCCTTCAGGATGCCTGGCTGTCCGGTGGGCTGAGCTCTGCGTTTCTCCTCTACGTGAACTCCACTGCATGCTCAATCACATTTTTATCAAGGTTTAAACAAACTGTCAAGCTGTAAATGATGGGTCTGGTTCTCAGTTTGAGGTTAAAAACCATTATTTGGGACATAAACACAGGACAGACAGTGGACGCGCTCAGTGCTCAAACGAGAGTCTTGTGACTGCACTTATCCTGGCCATACCGCTGAATTAAAAGCAGGAATTCCTTCTGCAAACATTCCTCTGCAGTCAGGCTGCAAACCGCAGCTTTTCTACATTACACGTTTGATAAAACTCTCCTGAAACCGAGCGCTGACACAGCCTCGTATTGTTCGTTCTGTCACAGATTCATAACGAGTCCCTCTGTATGTGTGAGGCTGCGTTTCACTGACGATTAGCTGGAATTTTAGAGAAACATTCGCAAGTTATTCCAGAGAAAATTTAATTTAATGCACCCGTTCAATACTTCATCTACAGACTTCATTGGGATTTTACGTGACATCAACAGAAAATAGTGCCCAACTGTGAAGTCAATTTAAATGGTTTAACATTTGTGTTTACAAAAGGAAGTCGGATATACATTTGTATTCAGCCCACTTTGTTCATTTGTTGTAAATTTGTTCAACTGAGCCCAATTGAGCTGCACATCATTGTCGATCGAATAAATAACATCAGTGTCACTACAAATGGCAAACAAAAAAATTGGACTAATTAATTTGCTTTATTCTATTTTATTTTATTTTATTTTTTAAATCTTCCTTACTGATTACTTTTAATTTAACATTTTGGGCCACTTGACAAAAAGTTTAAAGGCTCTCCTGTTATAAAATCTCAATTGTTTATTTACATAAATATCAAATTTATGCTGCTGAAATGCAGTTTTTAAGCAAAAATGGAAAGTCACAATGTTTAATCATTCAGCACAAAAAGTGTAAGGGTTAAAACACCCGCAGCACCGACAAAAGTTTAATAATTTTCTCATTTGATCAGAGTTTCCTCTTCCATAGACTCGCTGTGTTGCACAGCTTCATATTTGGTTGCCACGGGTTTTAGCCAGGTGTGTCAAACATATTTTCATTTGTAAACACAAATGAAAACCACATATCAAGATTTCTTCAACTTCACAATTACGCACGACTCTGTGTCGTCACAAACAATCTCAACAAAATACAATGAAATTTCTGGCTTCAAGGTTAGAAAATGCGAAAATACTCAGAGGATGTGATCACGTTAGTGGGGAATATCCTGGCTGGTTCTTTTAAAAGCTGAAAAGATTGACTTTGATTTCCTGCAGCTCAAAGACAAACATTAACGAAAACACGTTCCTGTGAATCCCTTCGCTATCCAGTGGGAAAACATCAGAGTTCATTTTCTATCAGAATCCGTTTTTCTAATTTCCCTCCATCTGAAGCAGCTTTTAATCTTCATAGAAAGTAGTTCTTTGTGATGCTGGACAAATCTTTGATTATTTATGAGAGTCTAGAAATGTATTGATTATCCTTCAAAGTGTCTTTGCTCAGAGTGTAACTACTGTACAGCTTTTGTGCATGATAAATAAAAATGTACTCAACATGGAAATCTGTTCAGACATATTGAAGTTGACATAGCTGTATATTGATGTCTTTGGTGTTTCTCTTATGTACTCTTGAAATATTTTATATTCTTTGGACGTGAAGCTGAACTAAGTAAGTTAAAATATCTGAGCTTTTGTTTTGCAGAATGGTTGTTTTATATTTTAAATCTTGTATGTTGTGATTGTTTGATCTGAAAACAAAATAGCTTTTGTTGGTGTAATTATTTGTGACGTGAATTCAAGTGCTTGTTTCCCAGATTTGTAATTTTAATTTTTTTCCTTCACATTGTACAGAATGTGCTGCAGTCTTTGCTGTAGATCTGTGCCTCATTCAATGAATTTTACGTCTTATCAGCTAATTAAAGTAATACCAACCTCATGTCATGAAATGTGTTTATTTATATGCAACATGAACACCTTCCATATTTATTGGTAAAGATGTGTAGAAAACATTAAAACACACCCACAGCATCAAGGATCCTCCACCGTACCCAACATTGAGAATGAGGGATTTAATTTTTTATTTACTTTTTGCTTGATTTACACCAATTGGTGACATTTTTAGTCTGAACTGACTCAATTAAATTCAATTAAAAAAAAACTTTATCAATTGTTTTAAAAAAAATAAGCAAAAAAGAGTTTATAAAGTCCACATGATTACAGTATAGAAAGCCTTTTTGTAGTTTCAATGTGGAGTAGCAGCTGATCTACTCTGAGTCCCTCCAGGACGACTGAGCTTCTCACCCTAAAGGAGAACCCAGACATCCGGTGGAGGAAACTCAGTTTGGAGACACATGAGGGTAGGAATGCGGATCGACTAGTTAATTGACACTCAGTCTGGTGTAGCATCACTTTAGACTCTACACCAATCCGCCTATCAATCTCCTGCTCCATTCTTCCCTTGAGCAAGAACCCAAGACACTTGGAGCAAGTTGTCTTCCCTTTTCTGGCTCAAGATAATGGCTTCAGATTTAGAGATGCTGATCCTCATTCCAGTTGCTTGTATCCACAATCAGAGTTCTTTTGGTCATGACCTGAAGCTTGTGACCAAAGATGAGGGCAGGAACGTAGATCAACCAATAACTCAAGATGACCAATCAGCTTTCACCAATCAGCCTCCTACTCTTTTATTCTATTATTAGTGAATAAGACTCCAAGATACTAAAGTCCCTCCACTCGGGCCAACAGCGTCCCAAGCAGTGAAAAGGCACTCTATACGTTTCCAGCTCCAGACCATGGTCTGGTCTCAGATTTGAAGGCACTAATCCTCATCCTAGCTGTCTCTTGGCTGCAAACCGCCAAGAAACAGCTGTAGATCACGACCTGATGAAGCCAACGGGGCGACATCATCTGCCCAAAAGACGACCCAATCCTTTGGCTGTCAAAACGAATCCCCCAACACTTTGACTGTGCCTAGAAAGTCTGTCCATAGAGTTTGTGAATACAATCAGCGACAAAGGGGAACTTTGGCGATGTCCAACTCTCATCAGAAATAAGTCCAATTAACTGCTGGCAATGCAAACCAAGCTCTGGCATTGCTTATATAGGATCCTAACAGCCCCTGTTCATGGGTTCTGGTACCCCATGGACCTGAATTACCCCCAACAGGACTTCCTAACACCTTTTCAGAGTCCAAAAACACGTAGACCTGTTGGGTGAAGTCCCACACAGCCGACTGGACCCTGCTGAATGTACAGAGTTGTTCTTCAAAGTTAAGTAATTTTTCTTTTTTGCATCTTTTCCAGGTGTGACAGTAATTATAAACGGCGTTCCATCTGCCTCCAACAAATCCAAAAATCTTCCTCAATTTGTTAAGTTAAATCAGCTGCCCTTGACCCTTGTGATAGAGCAGCTGATTCTCATTCAGAGGGAACAGCACACACAAAGGCAAACATTTTCCCAATTTAAGGATTAATCCTTTGGATTGAAGACAATACATTTATTCACTTGTATAAAAGATGCAATGCTGACAGTAATTAGGGATGAAAGAGTGATTTTTCACCAATTTGACAGAAAACTTGCCAATGTGCCAATGGTCAGTTTTCCCAAATGCTTGATGGATCCTGTTTTTGCCAAAAAAACAAAACAGGAGAAATCTATTAGCAAGTAACTTTTTCACAATAATGTATTAAAAAATGGATTGCATTTAAAAGCAAAATACATGTTTCTCTTTATCCTTAAAGCATATATACCACTAATGCCAGAAGTGTTTTTTCTTTCAGTGTGAATCTTTAATAATCACTTACACTATTTATTTCCTTTATTCGAAAGCTAAGATCTAAATTTAATGCAGCTGAAAGTTTAAGTTTTTTAATTAGATATTTTTCTGTTTATAGGGTAAACAAATATTTCTCATTTAGTTGTTTTATTCACTATTGAACCTTCAGAACATTGCATGTTAGCTCTCGATTATTTTTCTTTAATTACTCCCATATTTGGTGGAGATGGATCATTTATAATGTGTTTTATTTGCAGTAGAGTCTATGTTGTCTTTGAATTGCAGATAAAAAAACAATATTAAAGAGCATGTAGAAATAAAGAAGTACTGAAATGTAATGAAACTACAGTTTAGTTTCAAGAGCAAGAATTTTAACGACTTGAAGTAAGACAAAAGTAACTTACAATTAATTTTTCAGAAAGATATAGGAGCCTGATTTAAGTAAATAACGTCTTAATATTGATGAAAAAGTACTAGTTCCACTGGCAAATTATATTTTAAAATATGGGGAAACTGTATTGTCATATGTTAAATACTCTGCCAGTGGAACTAGGACTTTTTCATCAATATTAAGGAATTATTTTTTTTTTAAAATAAGCTCCTATATCCGAAATAACATCTTATCAGCACTAGAAACTAGACCAAAAGAGTTTGTGGTTTTGCAGTGTAATGAATGAATGAGAAACTTTCTGGTCCACTAGCTGATTTAAAATTGTGTCATATATATAGAAGAAAATGACCCGGTCAGATGACAGAAGTCACAAGGTTTGATTAAGCTTTACGGAGGAGAAAAGGCTCCACTCTGCAGCCACGTCTAACTGCCATGTCATGCCTGTGAATCCTCAAACGGTCAAACTTATGACAAAGTCTGATCGCCTGACTCTGCATTTGCTACACCGAACCTTAAAGCCAGTGCAGTTCCCAGTGACCCTGCTCTCTCTCACAGCTTTTGGAGGTTATACCTCCCAGCTGGAATCAGTGGGTTATGCGGTGAAAATAGATTTGTTCGCTTTTGTCAGGAAGTGTCTAAATGAATTACCTCTGCTGTGTGACAGACACGATTTCTGATGTCTTTATGTGGGGCTGTGCAGACTGAAAGGATGAAACTTGACATCATATGAAAGAAAGGAGCCTGAAGGCTGGAGGACCTTGGCGGTGGAGGCTCGACAGTTAAAGCAAGCGAGCGACACCGGATATTTACCACTTTTACCTTCAAAATAAAAGCTCGGCACGTCCTGAGAAACAGGTGAGTTGATAAACTTGGCTTTATTGAAACTATACTGCGTTTGCTTGTATGGGTTTTATGAGATCTTCCAAAAATACAAAACATTACCAAGTATTTTTGGTCAAGTTCCTAATGCAGATATCTAAGTAAACTAACTTGAAAGTAACTTTTCAGCTAGTTCAGCAACTTATTTTAATTCCTTAATATTGATTTTAAAAAAATAGTAGTGCCACTGGTGGATTATTTCACTTAAAGCAATACATTTTTCTCATGTTATAAGTAAAATAATCTGCCAGTAGAACTATTTTTAAAAATCTGTAATAAGAAATTATTTACTGGAAAAAATAGACCAGAAATGTCTTGTGTGCTTTTGAAATGTAAACCTTATCAAATGTGGACAAAACAAAAGTCTCACAAAAAAACCCCACAATAATTTATGTATTTTTGTGCTCAACTGAATATCTGAGTCAAAAATGTGCTAAAAAAAACTTCTGAAATTTTTAGATGAATCTCAGAATTTCTGAGGTTTTTCACATATTAATCTTGAAATGTATGTTTTTTTCTAGCAAATTTTAGACTTTTCAAACTCAGGAATTTCCATGTGTTTTCTAGAAAATTTCTCGAAAATTTAAATTATCTCAAAATTTCAGAATTTTTTCTGGCACATTTTCAACTTTTTCCTAGAAAGGATGTGATGTGAAATTTTCAGTTTTGGGGGGCTGAAACTTACTATGCATTTGCAACGACATTAATTTACTAAATATTCCTGAAAGTATTTCATATTTTCACTAACGGTCACCTGTAGGAATCAAGCTTTTATTTTTGAAACTCCTTCTCGGAAGTGGCCCCTGCTCATCGCGGCTGCCTTGACGTTGGTCCCTGTCCAGAACGGGCCGCGGGGTGGATGATGGCGGTGTCGGTGCTGCTGGTGCTGGAGCTGAGCCTGTATGCCTGCTGCTTCGTCTGTGGGATCGTCGCCGCCGCCTCCCTCACCATCGTCCAGGTGAGATTCACGGAGAAACCCCGCAACTCCCGGGGCTTCCACCCGGGCGCCGCGCTCTCTCTTCCGGGAGAACTCACTTCTCTGTTCCGGGGAGTGTAAAAAGTTTAGAAAACACGGAACCAAAAGAGAAAGCCTTGCTCAGACTAAACAATGTCTTTATCTACTACTGTAGCAACTTTTCCCCCCCACAACTGGTTAAAGTTTTGATACGTTCTCACATCCCTCTAACAGTGTCGTGTACTTTATCCATGGTGTCACATAAGTAAACTTTCATTTTCTCCCGTTTCCCATTTTTTAAGTGTAACAACGGTTTTATTTGTAACTATTGCTAAGGAATATTTCATATTAAATGTGCAGCGAATTAAAAAAAAATCTAATGTAGGTATCAGGAAAACAAGTTAATCACGGCTGTTAAGTGTTTTAAATGTTATGTTCGGGTTTTATCTTGGTGTGTTTTCGTTAGAAATATTGGAGGAAATGTGAACATGTGCGGTACTAATAAGCGAGTCTTGTGATCGAGTCGCTAGTCGCGCCCATCCCCTTTCACTGGTATGGAGCTCTGGAGGTGCCAAATGTAGAAATCAGAAAAATAATTTATAGGACATTTATTAAATGCAAAATAAATAAATAAAAATTGTCAGAGAAACCGTGATACAAAATTTTATAAGCTTTAATTGAGTAAAGAATGTAGCACTGTAATTGGAAGACATTTTAAACGCATCAAAAATAATAAATAGAAATCAATAGAATTAATTAGAAATAAAAAAAATCTCACACATCTGCAACGATAAATAAAATGGTTAATGAAGTCTGTAAACAAAATTGCCTTTAAAAAATTAACCATCATTTCAAACAATGAAAATTGTCAAGCTCCTTTTAATTTATTATATGATTAATTGATTAAATACTTATTGTGACAAGTGTCACAATAAGCACTAGGGATATTAATGCATTCGTTTATCATGTATGTTCAGTCTGATACTTTTGCTGGTATTGAATTTAACTTTTTTTGTTGTTTGTTTAACTTGGATTCACAACAAATGTCAACACAAGTATATATTCAGAAAAAAATTGATTTTTTTCAGATTAAAATCAATTGCTTTCCAATTTGATCCTTTTTATAAAACACTGCAGTTAAATTTAGATTACTTTGCTGTTGGTAAAAAGTATTTTGTTGTTTTTATCTAAAGAAAACCAGCTGTTTGCATTGAATCAATGACTTTTGGAGAAACCCCTCTTGAACGATCACGTAGCAGCAGCGGATGACCAATTAATCAGCTTTGCAGCAATTCCTCATAGGAAGCATGCATGAGGCGACAGTAGAAAGGAGAGCTCATTTTCAACTGTCAAATTGGGGTTTAGAGAAGAGTATATGTATGAAACACAAAAGCAGTGATCCATGAATGGTTTTTGTTTAAAAAATAAAAGAGTAAATTCTTGTTGGCGATGATAGCTTCTTTAGCTTTTTTAGTGTGAACAAATTGATCTCCTCTGCGTTCTATTAGTGCTAACTAGAAACAACCAATCAGAGCCAGGAGGCGGGTCTTAGTACTAACCTCTCCTTGTAGTGCTGCTTATCCTCCCTGCAGTCCGTTTCTTGCTGCAGCTAGTATAGCCTGTTGTGAATGCTAATGCTAGTTAGCATGGCCACCAAAAATAGATAAACAGTTTTCCTGTAGCGGTGAGTTGTTTTTCCACCATTAACATATGTAGCAGTGCGTACGTGAGGTTGATTGACAGCACTAAAACCTGGCTCCGATTGCTTGTTTTTGGTCGGGAACACTGAATTTCTTCAGACAGAATTAGTAGCTCAAGAGGTCAGTGGTTTTCACTGATTATCTGTTTCATAACAAACAATTACAACATGGCGACAGTTTTAACGAATATATAAAAAACATATTTTTATAATAATTACATACTGCACCTTCAATATGCATTAATACGCACATTGGAAGCCATTTTAGCACTACCACAGAGGCTAACATCTGCAGTCTTCATTGTCTCCCCCATAAAACTAGCTTAGCCTGGCGGTAGGGAAGCTAGGACAATCATCCAGCAACTTTCAGTGTTTTTGAGTTAAAAAATGTTTAAAGTTGAGAGGAAATTTTAAAATATTACTAGGTAACTATGTGCTATTTGAAGATATTATCAACAATACTTAAACAACTAAAAAGTCTTAAAAACCCTAAGATAAATAAAACAAGCAAAGCTTAGCCTGGTGGGGGTGCAAGTAAAGCCTGGTGGCCTGCCAGGCTTATAATAACCCTGTTCTTTATTTCCGATCTTGGGGGCTCAGCCAATCAGCACCAAGGAAAGTAAACGGCGTCCCTTTGCAGACTTATATTCTTGTGAACATTTTAGATTTGCTCTGAGTCTGTGAACTCAAACCTGTCTTTCTCTCTGTGTCAGGGGAACTTCGGTGGTCTGTGCATGCTGTATGGACGCGTCAGCTACAATGCCACAGGAAACGTCATCGGAGTCCAGGCTTCCACCTCGGCCTCTTTGTGCTACTTTGTGTCGGCCATTTCCATCATGGTGGCGGTGGTGTGTTTCTCCCTGTCTGTGTACTGGGTGTACGCTTTCTGCATGGAGGGAGAACTGAGAAGGTGACAAGAGTCTGTCCTCATGACGAGACATGGCAGGACATGTCCTGTCCTGTCAATTTTATTATTTTAATCACCACCCAAACCAGAGGAGTGACACATGAAGCAAAACAAGCTAACCTGTTGGTATTCCTTTTAAACTTCAGGAACTGGAAAGCAGTTTTCAATCTAATTTATTTACACTTTTTTTATGAAAACTGTCTCAAAGGTTTATTTCTTTATGATTTATTCCACATGAAACAGATCGATATGCTGCATCTAGATAAATCTGGAAGAAATTTGTTTTGGCCAACTCCAGGCTCAACTTTTCTTCCTTGGATTGTAACATTTCTGGAACTTTCAGCTGCTAAAGAAACAACAAACCTGTTACAATAACAAATAAATAAATTGTCCCAGAAGTTATTGTGATAAACAATAATATTGTTTTGAGAAAAATTTCAAGTAATATACAAGAAATCATTGTCAAAGAGCAATAAACTTTAGTTTCTAACAAACATTTAACACCGAATCTGGGAGACATTTTAAATAAACAACAAATCAATGACTTATGAAGTCTCTGTAGCCAAAATTATTCTTATAAACAGAGTTAATTGAGACCAGAACTCCAGACTGAAGACTTTCCTCATTCAGAGACAAGAAAAAAACCCAACCATGCAAATGGAAATTATTGAGCTCGATATGGGAGCTTGTTTTAAGTCAATAATTAATTAAATGATGGAGAACAAAGTATTGAATCAAAGATGGCAGTGAGTTTCTTGCTACATTTAGCAACATTTAAGACAATAATAAATTGGTATTGGCCAAAATCGGATTAGGCAGATCAGGCTTTTTAAAGATTGGCCAGAAAACTGCAATCGGTGCGTCCCTAGTCTCAACGAGCCCTTTATTTGAAGGACAGTTATGTTCACAGACACTTCATAATTCATATTGCTTGGTTTTTGTTTTTGTTTATTTATTTTGGATATTTAAAACATCTTCCAGTTCCGTGTTAAATGTTAATTAGAATTTAAAGTTTATTAATCTTTTGAAAATGCATTACTTGCGTTATTATGCCATTAATATTACATTACTTGAAAATGGTCTCAAAACATTAACATTTATTGCAGTAACTTCTGGGAAATTTGTTATTATTGTGGCAGGTTTACTGTCTGGTTTGAGTAAATATCTTGTTTCCACTGAGGTTAAAGGCTCAGCTGAATCCTCCTTTCTGTTTCTCTTCCTGCTTCCTGTCGTCCTTCAGGGAGCGCGTGTGGCTGAACGTGATGGTGGTTGTGAGCGGCATCTTTCTGTTCTTCCTGCTCATCACCGGCTGCATGCTGAAGATCGGCCGCGACTCGCTCTGCGACTCCATCCTCAAAACCGTTAGCGGGGTCAAAAGGTGCTGCAGACACTCACTCGCCTTTTCCTCCTCTGGTCAGAAACCAGGCAGGCTCAGACACAAAACCACAAACTAAACAAAGCTCGTTTCAGAGTTTTATTTCTGAGTTTTCACAGGAAGCTGGACCTTTATTTTTCAGATTTTCTCTCTAAATATAATAGATATAATATGGGAGTTTTTTTTATTTGATTTGGTGCTGTCAAAAAAGCCAAACTTTGCTTTTCTTTTGTCGCAAAAAGACATATCTTTGTCTGATAAATGAGGATTTTATTCATATAGCTTTTACCTAGGTTTAATACAGCTTTTTTTTCCTTTTTTATTTTTTACTCAGTTGGGTTAATAAAACTTGCTTAGAGCCACAAATGTTATATAAAGTTTTGAAAAAAAAGAAAAAAAGATGAAAATTGAAGAAACACTATCTTACTTAAATTATTACAAGCAGAATGAAATTTATATTTGTGGAATATTATTGTATAATCAATTCAGTTCATATAAATCAAGATGGCTGCTAACTTTAGACTAGAAGCTTCTGCCCCCAGTTACTAACGGCAACAGATAAAAAGGGGGAGGGGCTGTCGGTTACTGGTTGCTACGGTAACCGCCAACTGCCAAGAGCAGCCTAACAGAAGTTAACAGGTGAAAGTAATTTTTTGACTAAACAAAATGAATTTGAAGAACAAATACAAACAAATGATTGACAAACTTCACATCTGTGATATTGTCAAAGTGAAACCCTATTACAAATGTAATATGTGAAGATTTTAGAATTTAGTTAAGCATAAATGATGAGTTTTTTTTAATACATTTTTTATTACCAATTAGTGCATATAGAACAAACATTACAGAGTAACAAAAAACAGGAAGAGATATTGATCTACAAAATAAATAACCAGAATGGAGAATGAGTAACATCGACAAAAATAACCAACCAAACAAAAAAAAAAGAAAACAATGGATACATTCAAAATAAACACAAAACATAATCAAATGGTGCTACAATAAAAACAATGAAGTTGTTTATCATTTGTGGATTAGGATAAAACTACATACTATTCTATAAAAGATGAGTTACAAATTGCCTTTAGCTTTGTATCTGAGTTTTTTTTTTTTTCCCTCTGTCTTCAAGTTGTGACGAAGTTCAGAAGAAAAATTGGGTCAGTCCAATTCAAGGATCGATGATCTACACCAACCTTCACAAAGCAGAGGTACCGATCTCACCACAATCTGACGTTCATGTTTATTCAAAATGCTTGATGCGCATTGATTGTTTATTTTCCTGTTTTTGTGTCGCGTTGCTCGTCAGACAGCGGTCTGGGTCAACTTCTTCTTCTGGCTCATCATCGGGACGCTGGTGATCGTCCAGAAGCGCCAGAGTTCGGGGGCGAAGCTCGTTCCCACGCCGGCCGGATCCCTCTTCGGCGAGCCGGGGGCGAGCGCCGCAGAGACGGAGCCGTTCTTCAACCGGCCCCCGCGGCCGCAGTAGTACCCAATGACCGCTGGAAAAACTGGAGATGTTTCTTATTTTATACCACATTCACTTCAGGTTTTTTTCTGTAATCAGCAGCATACTTTAGTGAAAGTAATCAAAGTTTGTGCTTTTGGTGTCGTAATCCAAAGATTTAAGAATGTAACTAAAGCCAATTTTTTTTTTTTTTTGTGTATTTTTTAAGTTGTTGAATCAAAAACTTTGTTTTTCAGCCAAAAATTGTGAAACCTTTATTGCTGCAACTTATTTTTCATTATCTTTACCTTCAATTTTGTAAAAAAAAAAACAAAAAACAAACAAACTTTCAACCAAGTTCTGTTTCAGTAACACTGAGATAACTTAAGACATTTATCTGATGCAGACCTAGTGTCCTTGTAAGTCAGAAGTGATTTTTATTTACCTAAATCAAGTATTAAATATCAATATAACCTCTGGAGCGTCAAATGTAAATGTTTGCATTGATACTACTTGATGTTATTGTGTTCAATCTGTAAAAGAAGCCCTTATTTGAGAAGAAATGTTGCTAAATGTCTCCCCCTGCTGGCCAATACTAAATTCATTTGTACTGGAATACAGCTTCATGTTTCTTTTAAGATGAATTTTTTGGTTTTTGCAAAGTATATTTTAAGTGTTCAACGCACACGCACTAGAATTTCATGTTTTACTTTACACAGACATTTATCTTTATGACCATCCCAGTTTTTACTTCTTGTTTTCCTCTCTGTGGTGGTGGTTGTACAAAATGTACGTACCAACCCCAGAACAAAAGCAAACAACCTTGTGAAGATGCTAGCTTTAGCTAGTAAGAAAGGGTCAGCGTCATGTATGGCTGCTTAGCAGTAGGAGGGACTGGTGCACTTTACAAAACAGAGGACATCACGATTAAAGAACAATTAGGATGAAATATTGAAACTGCATCTCAAGACATCAAGCAGGAAGTCAAAGCTTGCACTAATGAGTTTACTAAACAGACAGTAGCTGTTTCCATCTGTTTCGCAAGAACAATTAACAGCACAATGGAGGAGCATTGTTGTGATGACGTCCTGAAGGTAGAGTGTCAGAAAGAGTAGGGACTTCTTAAAGAGACAGGCCCAATTTCAAGGCGTTAAATTGTGAAGTCACGTTTCTTTTAAGTGATTGATGTATGCAGCAGTCTAAAGGGCAAACTAAGGAACTATATGTAAACTTCTAAATTTGGAGAAAGTGATAAAGACTGTTTCAGTTTTCTGGCATTTAGAAAATAATTTGGGTAATCCTCACTGACCTGAAACAGGAATATTTAGTCTGCTTCTTGTCTGGCCTGGGATAGACCCTAGAAAAGGCTTAAAGGGGGAGTAGCACCAATTTGCAAATAATGTTTTCAAACAAATGTGGATTCTGAAAACATTGTACCTTGAATAAACTAACCTAAATCAGGTAAACTGTATTGATATTTTAGGGTTTTTAAAAAATATAAAACAGCACTCAAGTATTTAAAAATTATGAAGTTGTAGTACATTTTTTGGTAACTACATGAAGCTTACATGGTTGGATATATTAAACCAACCGTGTATCAGTTCATACCCACAGATGTATTGGACTGTAATTTGCTTTAGAAGTATTTTTCTATGTTGAGTGGGGACCAAAATTGGCTCCTCATCCTTGTAAATCTGGCTCTGTGTCCAGCAGTCATTAAAATACACAGTTTTATAGGGTTTATGTAGATTTTCTCAGTTTGAACATTCTTATTGAGATTATCCTCATCCTTTTTGCCTGCAGTTAAGTTTTTATTGAGGCAGCTGTTGGGATGTATCTTTTTACAGCATATATTGATTAGTAAGCTCCTGAATATAAACCAGGCAGATGAAAATAGAGCAGGAGAAGAGCTTACACAGTCCTCTCCTTCCCCTAATGGTTTTATCTGAGGATTACCTGACCTCACTTTGAGCCTGAGGTCGACGGTGACGCTCACTCAGAAAAGCCATCAGCGACAGCCTGGACTTCAAAGACGGATACTGAAATATCTGATCTGCAGCAGCAAAACTCGCCTTAAAAAAGGATTTCTGGAGTTATATGCTTTTTTTTAGTGTGCAGGAAGTAAATCTGTGAAGTGAGAAAAGCCAGGGACTATCAGACACTGGAGAACAGTGATACGGACCAGGAAGCCAAGTCTCAGAAGACCAGAAGACTGGAGATCAATCTGACCCTGGAATCAATGGTGAGATGTTGTTTAAAGTGGCGGTTAGAAAAACCCCCAGTTAAATTATATAAAGAGATGATGAGGAGAAGGCAAACAAAGCAGTGAGATAAGCCAAGATAAACCTTCGTAATCCACTTCACACACCACAGATCAAATGTTGAGTTTTAGTGTTGTCACAACTGATAGTCAATTAGTCTCTGTTTAACTGGGAACAAAAGTTGCAACATTTGTTATGTTTTCAGCTGGTGTGGTTTGCTTTCATACTGCACCGTAGTATACAGTGCATATACATATACAGGTGTGTATCCTCCTCACCTGTGGTGGCGCTGCACCAAGAACCATTGAAGGAAACAACACCAAAAAAAAGCTCAGAAGAAGACATGACGCAACTTAACTGCAAACAATAATGGAGCAGCGTCAGATTTTAGTGGCCATTTCTTTAGCTAGCGATAGAGTAGTGAATTTGTTTTGGTTGCATTACCCAGAATGCCCTGCACTGTAGCTCACTTCCTGCTTTGGAAGCAGTCTCTCATCCCCCTGGCATTCACATATGCATTCAAACCGCACCAGAGTTCACTTCAACCAAACCGAGACCTAGGTTTTTAGGTGGACCAGAGTTCACTTTTTTGGTCCGCATGAGAAGCTGCATTCACATCAGTCCTGTTTAGTCCATTTTAATTAAACTCTAGTTTGTTTGTCCGGTTTATTTGGGGAGCTTTCAATCAAACTGTCTAAATAAAAATTAGCTGTGGTCTGCCTAAAAACCCAGGTCTTGGCTTGGTTGAAGTGAACTCCAGAGAGGTTACAGAACACACCAAGCGGACCGAAACCGCTTCAAAAGCAAGAACAGGACTGTAGCACAGGGGATTCTGGGTAAATACAACCAAAACAAATGCATGATTCTAGAACTATTGGGAGAAATGTCTCATGGTCTTTTGCCAGAGACAACCGAAAGCTCTTACAACTGCCAAAATTTGACACCACTCTACACATTTTGTTTACATTTAGTGAAGAAGGAAGCTGCGCTCAGTGTCTTCTTCATATTCCGTGTCATTTCCTTCAGTAGTTTTTGGTGCAGTGCCACCACAGGCGAGGCGGGGTACGGATTGCTCAAAGGGTTTGGTTCATTTGACACAGTACAGTGTGAAACTGAACCACAGCAGCTGAAAATGTAACAAATGTTGCAACTTTGTTTCCAATCAAACCGAGTCTGCCAGAGTTCAAGGGCGCGGTCACACCTCCCCAAACAAACCAAACTTTCTTGACAAACAAACTAGAGTTTGATTAAGGCAAACTAAACAAGGCTGGTGTGAATTCACCCTTAAAACCTGCCCATCTGTAAGTGACCTGCTGTTCACAGCTTCCATCTGCCCAGATGCTCTTCATCCATTTGTGTATCGTCATCTCTGCAGGATATGTCCAGCAGCCAGTGCGACTCGGTGGTGGTGAGCGTGGAGTCGCTCTTGGGCGACGCCAAGCGGATGCAGCAGCAGTGTAGGGAGCGCAGCGAGCAGCTGTCAATGGCCGCCACGCAGCTGCGGGTGGAGTCGGCCGCCCTGAAGGAGCAGTGTGAGGCCACCCAGCTCGACATGGCCCGGATCCGCCGGCAGTTGGATGAGCTACTGGACACCAAAGCGGCCTTTGAGGCCAGGGAGCGGCAGGCCCGTAAACTCAGCAAGCAGCTGTGAAGAGACCGGAGGAGAGAGAGCTGATGTTTGCTCTCTAGATAGTTTAATGATCCTTTATAAGGGTGGAGTCATTTTCAACAATCACAGGATTGTTCACTGCATTTCCATTGACTATACAATTGTGCAACTTCACATTTGAGGATAAATTCACTTAATGGAAACACCAATTTCAGAAAAACACTCGCTTTTCGTCCCCATTGGAACCAAGTTTACTTGACTATCAGGCTTGAGAAGATCCTTAGCACAGGTTGTAGTCGATGGCAATGGAGGAAGTGAACAAATATTGATCTAACATTAGCTGTGTTTCCAATGACCATGAGCAAATTGGAATTAAAAAAAAAAAAAAAAAAAAATCACTTAGTGGAAACAATGGTGCTAGTATGAAGTGTAGGGTTGCCACCTTTCAGAAATACAAATAAGGGACACCCACCACGGCGCATCGTCCTACTCTGATGTGGTGGGACGTCCGCTCAGGTGACAGACATTATTTTATGGCAGTGTGTTTTGTTTTTAAAAAGTGACCCATAGAGCAATCATTCATGCACAGAGGTCTGTTAGAGTACCCCAAAATTGTACTCCAATCAGAGTAGCATATCTTAAACACGTTTAATTAAGAATGTGTAAAAAGTATTTGCTAAACTACTCAAGTACTGAGTAACTGATCATAACACCTAATTTAATATTCAAAATGTGTCCTCAGACAGCCAAAAGTATAAAAGTTATGTGAACATTCTTATATTTTACAGAGTATTAACAAAATATTTATATAAATA